AATTCCGGAATAAAAATTTGTTCACGTCATTTTAATGCACATGATTATATTTCAGCAAGTATTTACCATCAGCCATAACCTTAATATTTAAAACTAGAATCATACTAAAATTATAAAGTGAGAAATTATTTATTCCTGTGTAATTGATTTAACACAATTCTAATGATACGATATAAGTATTTTGAGGTTAAGAACCTGCCTGCTGCAATACAACAAAGTTGCAATAATGTGTTTGCAACGTTCTCTTAAATCGGTTTTGCACGTGCAAGTCATTGCTTAAATCACCCAGAATCACCTCGCCAATTATATAACGTGAATCACTTTTTAAATACGAAGTTTGTAAAAAGTAGGCAGTAAACTTGACGGAATTTGTTATTTCCGAATTTTATGATGTGATTGGCATTAAAAACACGCTCACCTTCAACGAAATTTCCGTTCCGAGGCTTTGTGTCAGCCCAATCACATATTGTGTCAATACTTATCATTTTATCGTAATTTAAAAACTTGGAAATTGCACGGTACACTATAAGATCTACGATAAATTTTCCTTAATCAGCGCCATGTTTTTAGGCTCATCCCATTTGACGGATCCCAATAGTGTCATAAGCTTTGTTACATTCAATTTTAAATTAAATGTAAACCAAAAGCTCATTTTATATTAATGAGATACTACTTCTATTGCTTTTTTCTCGCCATTTCGAATTCATAACGGAAAATATCACCTATGATTCACGTAAGGGATACTTTCTCGGTTAGCAAGAAGAGCAGGAATGAAGTTATTTTCAGTATATTTTAAAACATGTTGCCATTTTTGGTCTGTAATTTCGTAAGTAAGTTCACTACAAACTTTTACTTTTGCAAAGATTTCATTTAATTTTGTTACTTGAGAAATTCGAATAGGTACTCAATTTTTCTTATAAATTTAAAACTTTTTGTATTGTCTCATAGTCATTAAATAAAACTTCCTATTTTAAATTTAAATTTTGGATTTTATATACCCAATTGCTTTCACGATAATCAAACTATTCATTAAGATAGTCTAAACATTTATCAATGAGTACCATAAAATTACAGTTGGCAAGCCTACTTTAAACAGAAAAAAAAATATGTTTTACATAATCTTTTCACAGCCGGTAATGGTGCGAACACCATTACTGATCTAGAAGATTTTAATATTTAAAAGATGAATAGATCCCTGAAAGGTTTTCTTAAAAAAATTTACATTCAGTAAATATAGAAAATTAAATGCTACAAAAAAGTATAGTTATATTCCAATTTCTACCCCTAGATTAACTTATAAATAATGAATCAGAGCCAATGGGGTGAAAATTTTTGTTTATTGATTCCACACCTACGTTTCGCTTCTGGGTATGGAGGCTTCTTCAAGGCCTGTATAAATTTATTTAATTATTTTTCATATTTATGTGGGACGACTACTCCGAGATGTACCTTGCCTATATCCAATAAAAAAGAATTACCTATTAAAATCGGTTCACAATTGGCGCAGAGATCGTATGAAATACACACAAAAAAAAAACAGAATTGAGAACATACTTTTTTTAGACGAGCTGATAACATTCAATAGGTATCTACATGCCTACTCCATTACCTGGTTAATTCATTGTTTAAGATATTTGTATCACTTTTGGGAAACTCGGGAATCGTGAATAAAACTGACGTGTAATCATATTAATTATTTTAATGTCTTTATGACTTCCCGGGTTAGGTGTACCATTAGTCTTGATGTTTGGGTTACCGTCTAACTGATAAGAGCTTGTTCCGTAGCTGTATGAAATGATTTATACTTTTCTCGCTGTGTATTTCTTTCTTATTGTATTATTTTCAATTCATATGTTCATTCTACATTCGTCATTGTCATCAGAGTTGTACACGAATTATTTTAATAAACTTATAAACGCCTGTCGTTTGGTCACTCTGATTGCAACGGGTAGATTATTATATTTCTAATATCTGAATAGTTTTTCTACCTATTATTAAAAATTGTCTCGTTTTTAATAAATATCATGAATAGACCATGAAAGAGCGGCAACTCGTGTTTGTGTGGCATATGTTGGTACAAGTAACTACAAGACGCGATGGATACTTGCTGCAAAAGTAATCGGGACGCTGCATCATTTTCAATCGGATAAGAAAAAAGTAAATTAATCTTGTCATCATAAAAAGTGATGAAATTGCCACTATTTTTCCCGGAATGTGGAGTATGTTAAGTAAATTATACCGTCAAAACCAAGCGGTTAGATCGAATTTTTTTTTATTTTTCCCCTTTCCCTTATCTTAAAAAGGGCCCAGATTCCGCCACATGTCATGAGAAAAAATGCTGTAAATTACTTAAAAAAGCTGATGTAGGTACCAAAGGGCAGGATTTTGGACGATGTTTTTTTTGGGCGTCAGCTCCCCGACTAATAAGTTTAAAAGAATGATTATTATTATTAAATTCTCTTTGCATTGAAATAATACTTACACAGAGTTAACAATAAAAGTAGTATAAAAATAAAATTATATCGGTATCGAAACTGATACGGATTAAAATATGTAACGTTAACGGAAATGTGTAATTCGTCATTTTCGCGTCTGCATGTAAACACCTGTTTACACCGATCACGGAGGTTCGAAATTTTGTAAAATTGTACAAAAAACAAGTTTATTTTAAAAACGAAAGAAAAAAAAGTGTATTGGTTGCGACATTCTTAGAGAGAGTGAATTCTGTTAGTGTATTATTAAGACTAACATTCGATATCATTTACTATAAACTTCCGACAACTGGTTGTGTCTCATTCCCATATATTAAAATAACAATTGTTAAAGGACAAAACTATTTAAATTGTACAGTCTCTCACACAACAGTCATTATATATACAATTCCTAGGAAATGTATACATTTCCCAATATGTGTGCATTAAAAATTTTTTGAAACAATATTTTATATACATTTCCTAGGAATTGTATACAAAATATTGTTTCAAAAAATTTTTAATGCACACATATTGGGAAATGTATACATTTCCTAGGAATTGTATGAAATTCCAATTTTGTACTGGGAAATGTACAAAACTAATGCTTTCTGCAAATAGAATACTCTAATATATCAGGGCAGGGACATTAAATAATTCAATTCTTCTTCTGTCTTCATTTCGTCCGTCTCATCTTTCTCACCCGAACCACCACCCACCCATTCCCACGTTTCCTGAAAGCAGACTGAAGAGGGCCTTCCGCCCTACCTTCCGGCGTAGTCCGGAGGGACTGCCCGCCCACCAGCACTA